CCCCCCCCCCCCCCCCCCCCCCCCCGCTCACCTTGACGATGCGCCGATATGTCTCATTGTGGGAAGCGCTCTCGAAGGGCGGGTTTCCCACCAGCAGCTCATAGCAAAGGACCCCGATGCACCACAGGTCCACCTTCTCGTTGTGCGTGCGCCCTTCAATCATCTCTGGGGGCAAGTAGTCCAGGGTGCCGCACATCGTCTTCCTCCTGGGAGGATTGAGGAGGTGGGGGGAAGGGATCCCGGATCAAGCCCGCCTCTCTTTTCCCTGCGGCTGGACAGGCAGCCAGGGACCCGAGGATGCGCCAGCGGGGTGTTCCAACCAGGCTCGGACAGGGCCCTGCGGCAGGGGATGTAGCCCACATGGAGCGGTATGATCTTGGCCGCCCCAGCCATCCGCCCCGAGGGCAGGGCTCCCGGCCCGCCTCACCTCAGGGAGGGGGCGTGCACAGACCAGCCGAAGTCGGCGATCTTTAGCTCCCCTTGGAGCCCCAAGAGTAGATTCTCTGGCTTTATGTCTCTGTGAATCACCTTCTTCCCGTGGCAGTACATCAGGGCGTCCGCCAGCTCCTCCATGATCTGGGGGGGGGGGGGGGGGGAGGGACAGGAAGTCAGGCGAGGCTGGAGCTCCAGCTACAAGCAATGGACCCCCTGCCCATGCCCCCTGTGCCCCCCCGCCCCGACCGTGGCCGTCCGCTGCTCATCAAAAGTGCGGCTCTTCTGTAGTTCTTTGTAGAGCTCCCCGCGGGGTGCGTACTCCAGAATCAAGTAGATCCTTCTGCGGTCGTAGAAATAGTTGTAGAGACGCAAGATGTTGGGATGCCTGGAGGAGGGAGGGGAGGACTCGGGCTGCATCCTGGCTCAAGGAAATGGGAAAGACGACAGTGCCACGACCCCCAGGCCGCACTGGGGGGACTAAGCGGCAGTCCGGGCGGGGCAGGGGCTGAAAGGCGAGCGGAGGGAGGAGCAGAGAAGGGCTGGGGGGCGGGGGGGCGCGCGTGGGCTCCTACTGCAGATGGGCCTGGATTTCGATCTCCCTGCGAAGCTGGTGCTCCACGCCCTCCTTTTCTATCTGGGACTTGAAGAGGACTTTGAGGGCCACGATGAAATGGCTTTTCTTCTCCCGAGCCAAGTACACGTTGCCAAACTTGCCTTTGCCCAGAGGCCGCCCAATCTCAAAGTCGTCGATGGTGAAGGATCGCCTGCTTGGGGGGAGGGGGGGCAGGGGGAGGCAGCTGAGTGATGGCCGGGCAGTCCCCTGAGGTGGGGACTCCCTCTGCCCTGGTCTTCTCTGGAGGGAGTCGGGGATGGACCGGGCTTTCCTGCCTGCATCCTGGCTCCTGCCCTGAGCGGATACCTCTCTCGTTTCTACCTGTTTGCTGTCCCGCCGTCCCCTCTCCCGCCACTCCAGGCCTTGGGTACTCACATTGAGAAGTTGGGGGGCCCAGCGCTGTTCTCCACCACCTTCTGGCCTGCAGCGGCTAAACAAACAACAGGGAAGCTGAGACCCTCCTCTGACATCTTGATCCGGGCGCCCACCCCCTAGATCCTGGTCCATCCGCTCAACCCTCTCCCCCAGGTTCCCAGTTACCTGTGGGCTGGGCGTTGGAGCGGCTCATGAGGACCAGGGCAGGTGGGGTGCCAGGCTCCTTCCGGAGGACTCTCTGGGGCAGGGTGTTGAGGCCAGGCTGAGTCTGAGAAGGAGCAGGGGGAGCTCTGAGGGTGCCTTTGTCCCAGGGACCCGCTAGGAATGTGCCGCAAGCAGCATTTCAGTACTTTCTGCAGGGCCGCCCAGCCACCCACCTGCTCAGAGGAACACTGAGACCACAGTTTTGCTCCAAACCCCCTAAGCTCCGCTCATCACCCTGTATTAACATAGGTTCTTTTTCTTTCTTATGTTCTTTTATTTTGAGAGAGAGCAGGGGAAGGGCAGAGGGATAGGGAGAGAGAGAGAATCCCAATCAGGCTCTGCACGGTCGGCGCAGAGCCCAAAGCGGGGCTCTCGATCGCACAAACGGTGAGAACACGACTGAGCAGAAATCAAGTTAGATGCTCAACTGACTGAGCCGCCCATAAAATGGGTTCTTTTTTTTTTTTTAATGTTTATTTAGTTTTGAGAGAGAGAGAGACAGAGCACGAGCACACGAGCAGGGGAGGGGCAGGGAGAGGGGGAGACACAGAATCGGAAGCAGGCTCCAGGCTCTGAGCTGTCAGCACAGAGCCGGATGCGGGGCTCGAACCATGAGATCATGGCCTGAGCCAAAGTTGGACGCTTAACAGACTGAGCCACCCAGGAGCCCCTAAAATGGGTTCTTAATAAGCAACCTAAGGTAGCCGGAGATGAGAAGCAAAGGACTCACCCCAACACTGAACATTTCACCTCGCTGGCCCTGGCCCACACCACATTCTCAGGCACGAAACTGTCCCACATTCCAGTCCGGTCTGTCTGCAGCCCCACATCCACTCGCACCGACCCCCACCCCAGCGGGTAGTAGAGGGCCAGGTAACAAATGTCCCCAACTTAAGGATCAGCATAGGCACCCTCACACTCCTAAAAAGCTCAGTCTATCAAGGCGTAGATAAGGTCCTGGAGGTCTGGAAGGTTGCAACAAATTCCAGTATTTACCCCCTTTGCAGCACCAGGCTTCGGGGATACTGAGGGTTACGCTGATGCCCCTGGGCCACTTCTCACTTGCTGCTTCTCAGAGTAAAATACACAACTTTCTTTTCTACCACCGCAGATGTGACAGTGGCTTCTGTTTCAGCCTCCATTCTTTTTTTTTTAAGTTTATTTATTTATTTTGAGAGAGACAGAGACAGTGGAGTGGGAGAGGGGTAGTGAGAGAGGGAGAGTCCCAAGCAGGCTCCATGCTGTCTCAGGAACCTGTGAGATCATGACCTGAGCTGCAACCAAGAGTCAGTCGCTTAACCCACTGAGCCACCCAGGTGCCCCTCAGCCTCCCTTCTTGACATCCTCACCGGGTGCTCCACGTCGGCGGGAGCTGGTGGACAAGGGGACAGATGGACGCTTCAGGTCACCCAAGCCCCACCAAAAAGGGAGCGAAGCCAGTGAGAGCCCCTTCCTTGTTCTTAGCCAGGAGAAGAAAGCCTGGTGCCCTAAAAACCCATCCCCAAGCAGTGACACCAGTGCAGAAGTCACGAGCGCGCACGCTGAACAAAACAGGGTCCAGAAACAGACCCACATTTAGGTGGGCATCTTATATAATAAAGGTGGCCTTTCAAATCAGAGAGTAGACTCTCCACTGTAAATCTTAGGAGAATTGGAAAATAAATCTATTCAGATCTTCACTTCACACCGGCCATTAAGACAAATTCCAAATTATGAATCTTAAATTTACATAAACCCGTTCAGAGTCTATTTCTATTTCCTGTTTAGCCTATTATTTTAAGATAAGGGCTGGGAACCCTGCAACCTGTCTGCTCAGCCCCAGATGTCATTTATATGTGACAAGCTGGTTCCACCCTTGCAGAGGTCCTCACAGGCTGGTCAGGTTCAAGTTGGCAGCACCTGATGGGATGCGGTTGAAATGACCACACCGGGTTCTAGCCAGCAAACTCTTGGGACCCAGACGTTGGAGCAAAAACGGGGGCGACTTGGAGGATCATCGCCCCCCCTCCCCCCCTTCCGCGAGACCTCAAATCCCCAGGCAGGAACTCCCCATGCGGGTGGGGGGAGGGGAAGTGGGAAAGCCCTTACCGTCTGCCGGCTGTAGGACCAGGGGTAAGCGTTCTCCTTCTGGGCCATCCTGGGAGGGAAAGGGAGAGGAGAGCTGGGCAGACAAGGGAAACAGGGCTGTAGGAAGCAGAAAACCAAAAAAAAAAAAAAAAAAAACCAGGGAGCGAGAGACGGAGGGATCGGACCGATCTAACCGGAAGCGCAGGCCTGGGGCTGGTGGAAGGGAGCAAGTCAGCTCGCTGGCTCAACGGGACCAGGGCTGCCGGTCTCGCCTCCCCAGGCCTCCCCCTGCGCACCCCCGGTTCGGGACCCTCCCTCTACCCTTGAGCTCCCAGCAGCCCCACGGGTGCGCGCGGGCCCGCCCAACGGACCCCCGACCTCCCCGATCGCCTGCCCTGTCCCGGCGCAAGACCCACGAGAGGAAGCCAGCTCACCTGGAGGCCGAGCACAGCCCCCCTTCCTGGCCGCGGCCAAACAACGGAACCAGCCGGGCCTCGCCCCGCCCCCCCAGGGCCTTTCAAATCTCCCGCCGTGGCCCCATTGGCTGAGCGCGCCGCCCATGCCCAATTCTCATTGGCTGGACACCCCGTGACGTAGAGGGTGGGGCCCAAAGTTAGAGGCGGAACTCCAGGGTCAGTTCGCCTGGGTTCCGGCTTAGCCAAGGTTCCCTCGGTCCGGAGTCAAAAAGATCTCATCTTTTTCCCTTTAATTTAAAAATTTAATATATCTGGAATGTATCCATCTGTACGTAGGGACCAGGGTCTTTGTAGTTGACCATGGGGAGTTAATTATTTATGCCAGCACCATTTGTGCAACAAACTATCCGGATCCCCCTCGGAATTTAAATGCTACCGTTTCCCAAAGCCATCTACAGATTCCATGCAACCTCGATCAAAATTCCAACAACCTAGCTTACAGGGGAAGATAAAAACAGTACCAGGTTTGTATGGAACTGCCAAAGAATCCAAATAGCCAAAGCAATCGAGAAAGAACAAAGCTAGGGACATCGCGCCCCCAGACTCCAGGCTGTGGTACAAAGCTGTAGTAATTCACACAGCGAGGTGTTGGCATAAAAACTGCCGCAGAGACCAATGAACTGAACAGAGAGCCCAGAGATAAGCCCACACATATATGGTCAATTGATTTACGAGAAAGTTGCCAAGAATACACAATGGGGAAAGGGCGGTCTCCTCAGTAAATGGTGCTGTGAAAACTGGACAGGTACACATGGAAAAGAATGAAAGTGGGTCACTTTCTTACACTTTACATAAAAATTAGCTGAAAGTCGACTAAAGACTCGAAATGTGAGGCCTGAAACCATAATACTCCTATAAGAATACACGGGCGGTAGGTTTCTTGACATAGGTCTTGCCAATAATTTTTTTTAAACTCTGACACCACAGTCAAAAGCAAGAATTAAATAAACAGGTGTGACTACAGCAAACTTAAGGCCTCTGGAAAGGAAACCATCGACAAACAAAAAGGCAACATAGTGAATGGGGGAAAAAATTTGCAAATCATACACCTGATAAGGGGCGAATACCCTAAATATCTAATGAACTCATACAACTTAACAGCACAAAACAATCTGCTTTAAAAATGGGCTGAAGATTGGAATAGACATTTTCTCAAAGAAGACATATAGATGGGCCACATATACAAGAAAGATGCTTGGGGCGCCTGGGTGGCTCAGTCGGTTGGGCGGCCGATGTCAGCTCAGATCATGACCTCATGGTTCTGGAGTTTGAGCCCCACATCGGGCTCTGTGCTGACAGCTCAGAACCTGGAGCCTGCTTCAAATTCTGTGTCACCTTCTCTCTCTTCCCCTCCCCTGTTCACATTCTGTCTCTCTCACTCTTAAAAATGAATAAACATAAAAAAAGAAAGATGTTTGACATTGTTAATCTTCAGGGAAATGAAAATCAAAACCACAATGAGATATACCTTCACACCTGTTCAAATGGTTATCATCAAAAAGATGAGAAATAGGGGCGCCTGGGTGGCTTAGTTGGTTAAGCGTCTGACTTTCGCTTGGGTCATGATCTCGCCGTTCATGGGTTCGAGCCCCACGTCGGGCTCTGTGCTGACTGCCAGCTCAGAGCCTGGAGCCTGTTTCAGTCTGTGACTCCCTCTCTCTCTGACCCTCCCCTGCTCACGCTGTCTCCCTCTCTCTCTCTCCTAGAAATAAATAAAAAACATTAAAAAAAATTTTTTTAAAAAAAGATGAGAAATAACAAGTGTTGGTGAAGATGTGAGAAAAGGGAGCCCTTGTGCATGGTTGATAGGAATGTAAATTGGAGCAGCCAATGTGGAGAACAGCATGGAGACTCATCAAAAACTTAAAGATAGAACTACCATAGAGTCCAGCAATTCCACCTCTGAGTATTTATCCAAAGAAAAGGAAGGCAAACTTCAGAAAGATATCTGTATCCCCATGTTCACTGCAGCATTACTTATAATTGCCAAGGTATGGAAACAACCAGATGTCTATGGATTCCACTCTGGTGGTTTCTGTTTCTGCCAACTCCTTATCCCCAACTTAATGGAGACCTATTGTGGACAGCGTGGTTATCTAGCCTGTGTCCATTTTCCTAGCCGTTCCCACTTCCAGAAAGCACCTAGAACGTTGTGGCTTCGAGAGGGAAGCAGACCCCATCGCAGACCCAGGATTGGACGCTGATTGATTTATACCACAGCCAGAATCATGGTCATGGTTTGGGATAAGCATGTGACCCAAGTGACCCAGTTAGTGGGAATTTTAGGATTCTTGTCCAGAAGCTTGACATTGTAGAAGGCAGAAAGTAGGCCCGGGGAGAACCCAAGACTTTGATGATGTTGCTGAGCCTCTGGACGCCTATTTTGCACTTTCCCTAATGCATTGACTTAATGGTTTAGTTATTTGGTGTCAAAGCCACACTCACTGACACACATCTACAGACCCAGCCTAGAGGGTTCTTAGCCATAGAGTTTGAATAAATGACGTGAATCAATCATTTGACCTACGAAAATACCAGTTTCATGGGTTTCTCCGTCATTTCCTAACGCTTTTGTCTGCAAGTTACAGAAAACACAGTTAACAGTGGCACAAACAATGAGGATCTATTTTCTCTTGCGCAGCAAGAAGTCAGCAAGTAGGGAGTTGCTTTGTTAGAGATCTGGATTGCCTGTTTCTCTTCATATGTTCCTTATGATGGCAAGATGGCGGCCAGCGGTCTGTGCCCCTTTAATCAGGATAAGCAGAAGCCTTTCTAGAAGTGCACAATAGATTTCTCGTTAGCCAAAACTGTGTCACACGACTACTGCAAAGGACACTGCAGCCACTACAGTGAAAACACCAAGGGGTGGGGGTAGATATAGCTGTGTGCCACAGTGGCTTACAATTTCATTCTGGGGAGCCCATGATTAATACAAAAGTTCAGAGATCTGTGTATGATGAGGTATCTCCAGAGATATGGCGACCAAGGGCACCCCTCCGCCATTTGTGAAAAAATAACTTTGCTTCTGGAGGTGCATCGTTTTTACTCAATGTGAGCCCAATCCTGCTTCCCAAGATCAGGGAGAGAGCCCACCTCAACTGTAGTGGCTTCATCAACATACTTGGCCTTGAGAGTCTAGCTAATGAAAAGCTTTGTAAAAATTCTATCACCTGCAGTCTACTGGATTCCTCATGACCTAGCCAAGGGAGATGTTTCTGGAATGTGTCAGGAGACACGGTGCATGGGTGGGATATGCCCGATGGGTCCAATACAGTGTCCCTGTCCCTCCGCAGTCTTCAAATTCCCACTTGCACGTTTTGCCAGAAGGTATTTGGCCTGTCAGGACTATTTGACAGGCCAGCACAGGACGGGGATTTGCATTATTCATAAACAGCCAAACAAAACAAAAACGATCTGTTCTATCGGTTAGGCAACCATCAGCTGCCTGTTCGAGTTAGTGAACAAAATCTCTGTTGTTTACCCCAGAGTTTCTGGAGCTGTCAGTGAGGGGGAGTTGCCGGTGTTCTCCTTGCTGGGGTGGAATTTTCCCAAGATTGGGAAGGGGTATGATTAGATCGGGTTCCAAAGATCAGGGCAGATGGCCGGGATGCTATAATGTTCAGGACGCATGGATATTGGTCCCTTGTATTTCTCATAATAGAATATCCCCCCAAAGAAAACTTCAAGACAGGAATTCTCAATGTAAGAGAAGCAATAAGCCTCTTTCGGGAATGAGGAGTAGACTCAGAAGGATCTGGAAGGGGCTGGCTGGGGGGAGCCTGGCCAATACTCCCAAGGACTGGGGGTGGGGAAAATGGGGACGGCTGGCTAATGGCTACAGGGTTTCTTTTCAGAGTGATGAGAACGTGTGGGGCGCCTGGATGGCGGGTAGGTTAAGCCTCAGACTTAGGCTCACGATCTCACGGTTTGTGAGTTCGAGCCCTACATCAGGCTCTCCACTGACCATGCAGGGCCTGCTTGGGATTCTCTCTCACCCCCGCCCTCTTTCTCTGCCCTTCCCCAACTTGTGCTTTCTTTCTCTCAAATAAACTCTAAAAAATTAAAAATAATAAAAAAAGAAAACGTACTGGAATCACATAGTGGTGACTGGTGCACAACTGTGTGGCTACCCATGAATTGTACACATTAAAATGGTTAAGATGGTAAATTTCATGTTAAGTGTATTTTACCACAAAAAATATGAAAAAAAATTACAAAATATTTCAAATACCAAGAATACTGTTTAAAGCACTTGCATAACTACTATTCAATTATTTCAATATTAACCAATTTTGCCGTTTGTTTCTGATTGTGTGTGTGTGTGTGTGTGTGTGTGTGTGAGAAAGAGAGAGAGAGAGAGAGAGAAATAAAAGGCATCCAGGTGAAGCTCCAGTCCAAAAATGCAAGAATTAAGTCTATGTGTACTGTTTCTTTTCTATTTTTATTACCTTTTTTTTTTTTGAAACTCCTCTGAGAGGTAATCAGAGCTTTTTATTCTATCCTCCACATCAGTTTTTTTCATGCTTTTGAAATTTCTTGCCTCTCTGTTCTGTGTCTTGGGTAAATTCTTGGGCTCTATGCTTTTTAATAGCTAAATCTCTCTCGGATTGTGCCCAGTTTAGAATGTGAGACTCATCTATATTTTTTTAAGTTTATTTATTTATTTTGAGAGACACAGAGACAGCATGAGTAGGGGAGGGGCAGAGAGAGAGAGAGAGAGAGAGAGAGAGAGAGCATCCCAAGCAGCCTCTGGACTGTCAGCAGGGAGCCCGATGCGGGACTTGAACTCCCAAAACCTCGAGATCATGACCTAGAG